TCCATCAGATCCTCCTCAGCGAAGTTGTACTTCATATGGTAATGATGAGGAGCCTTCTGACGGAAATACATGTGCTGCACCTTGAAGGAGTTGATTTTGTCGAGGCGGATGTCGTCATGGTAGAGACCAACCTTGCCATAGCCGTAGACTTGGGTGGAAAGTTTCATGAGAGGGCTCATTCGTTCCGTCAGGTGATAGGCCTCGTGGAAGTTCATGAAGTCGATGGTGTCGGCCAGACCTTCCTTCTCCTTTTCACCCGCAAACTGCTCAAAAGCTTTCTCATTCTTTTCCTCCGCTTCGGCTGTGGCCTTGGCCTCTGCCTCATAAGCCCCAGGCTCCACGCGTGTTTTTGTCTTCCCCCAGATGCCCTGCTCGTAAAGGTTGTCATGGTGGTTGGGGGCATCGGCGGAGAAGTTCATATCAGGCATGGGTACCTCTCCAGAGGGAGAGCTTCCCGTAGCGTGGTCGCCTGACTCGCTGGCTTCATCCATGCGCACATCATCGGGAGCTGCCGTAGGCGGGAACGTTGTACGTTCAGGCTCCTCGACCTTTACACCAGATCCCTCTCCAGAGGGAGAGCCTTCTGGTGCATCGGTGCATCGGTCTCCATTGGTGCACTGGGATCGGGCTCCTGTTTTGCCTCACCAGCCATCTCTCCAGAGGGAGAGTCCGCTGGTGCAGCATCAGAGCCGCCAGCTTGTTCCATGGGCTCGTCCACTTCCTCGACGGTAGGTCCCGGGAGATTCGAGATAAACTCCTCCACGACGATGTCAACCAAAGGTCGTGTGTAGAGCTCATCAATCTCACGCGCACGCTGGGCACGAAGGTTCTCATACGAAATAAGATCCGCGTGAGCTTTCTTCAGAAGTGAAAGAGGGCGTGCCCATCGTTCGCAACTGCTTGTCCAGCGCGGCAAGGACCAGTGACGCGTTCCAAGGCTCCTTGAGTGAGGAATCGTACAAGGTGTAGCCCTCAGGAGTGTTGAGTTTGTACTTGCGTCGGACCTCGAGGTTCTGCCAGTGTTTCTGGACGTAGCTGAAGAAATCTTGCCCGTAGGCCTGCGAAACTGCAGAGGCCATCGTGGAGAAGTCCGTCCGAACTGCCTTAATCTCAGCCCACACATCCCTTTCCGAACAGAAAGCATTGTGGAGCATGAGCTTGGCAGCGTAGTCCGGGTCATCCTGCTTAGGTTTCTTGCTCCTGGGATCAGTGTCCGCAGGGATTCTGAAACCAACATCAGAATAGGTCGGAGCGAACTCACGATACTCGGCATGCTGGAGCTCATGCAGGAGAGTTGAGGCTGAGCTCCACGAGCATATTGCCCTGCATCTTTCCCAG